CTCTGTGAGAGGTCTCTGTGGGAGAAGGGCCTCTCACATACTGAGATAAACTAACACTGAGGCCTTCTCATGCTGAGAGCTCTGTGAAAGGTCTCTGTGGGAGAAGGGCCTCTCATATACTGAGGTGAACTAACACTGAGGCCTATCTCACACTGAGGGCTTCTCACGCTGAGGGCTCTGTGAGAGGTCTCACATACTGAGGTGAACTAACACTGAGGCCTATCTCACACTGAGGGCTGCTCACGCTGAGGGCTCAGTGAGAGGTCTCACATACCTAGGTGAACTAACACTGAGGTCTACCTCACACTGAAGCTTTCTCACACTGAGGTCTCTGTGAGAGGTCTCTGTGGGAGAAGGGTCTCTCACATACTGAGGTGAACTAACATGACCCTTTATGTCTGTGTGTATTGCTTTAATTTCAATGAGTAAAGGAATGTTCTGCACTGGAAACCCATAGGAACAAACTTGGATATCTGTTCCAGTCTCTATGAAAAGGAATGTGATATGGAGCAACGTCATTTGTCTCTGCCAGTCATAGCAGGATATGATATAAAGAAATACATAAAATTTGCTCATTAAAGAATCATATTAAATTGCTGTTCTGTTATGAATTTATGGTATAACTAAAGAAGAGCACGTAGAGTGTCTTCAGGCAACTCAGCAAATGAAATGTTTATTTCAAAATTAATTTTGTGCCTTTCTCTTTGATTGTTTCAGAAGGCACGCGGCAGGCTGCTCATAACCACGAGGTAAATACTTTACTCTTTCTGATGCATCCAAAGTTGACTTTCCTCCCCTGAAGAGTGGAAGATGGAGGTTTGGGGGAACGCACCGGTAAATGATCCCTGTGTAATTTATACGCACGCCCTTGCAAGTGTCAGATTAAATCATGTGAAGTAGTGTGTTTTGGACCCGGGCAAGAGTTATGGATTAATTCTCTGTATTTCCTCAGTTGGATTGCTTAGCCGGTATCTTAACCTTTTGTAGCGGCGAGTATCCAGCCTTAGAAGGGCAGCGTGTGGATTATGTGGTGCTCACTAAGTATCAGAAAGGAAAATAAACCTTGTCTGGAGATGTGGAATTTTTGGTCTGCCCAGCTCAGAAAGTGGTGGCTTTTTTGGCTCCCGGTGGTCTTAAGATAATGCATATTATTTGGACAGTCTGGTTTCTGACCTGGTGTGGAGACAGAAAGGGTCTTTTGTGCCATCGCGGTTTGCGTAGGGAGCCGAAGCAGGGTGCATCCTTTTCGGGGGCATTCCAATGTCCCTTCCTCTTATACACCATAGTATCATTTTCGGGGTTATTAAACTGATGTAGGCTGTTTTGATATATTCTGGCAGCCAAGAAGGTGATATTGTGGGATATCTGCTCCACCCCATTGCATTTGGGATTGTCATAGAATCAGAGAATCAAAGAGTCGGAAGAGACCTCATGGGCCATCCAGTCCAACCCCATTCTGCCAAGAAGCAGGAATATTGCATTCAAATCACCCCTGACAGATGGCCATCCAACCTCTGTTTAAAAGCTTCCAAAGAAGGAACCTCCACTACAGGGGAGAGGAGAGGGAGGAAATTCATCTACTCTGGTTTGAAACGCTTTCCAGACTCGAGACAGAAGCGAGGGGAAGAGGAGAGTTCCACTGCTGAACGGCTTTCACAGTCAGGAAGTTCACTGCTGAATGGCTTTCACAGTCAGGAAGTTCCTCATGTTCAGATGGAATCTCCTTTCTTGTGTTTTGAAGCCATTGCTCCATTGCGTCCTAGTCTCCAGGGAAGCAGAAAACAAGCTTGCTCCCTCCTCCCTGTGGCTTCCTCTCACAAATTTATACATGGCTATCATATCTCCTCTCATTCTTCTCTTCTTCAGGCTAAACATGCCCGGCTCCTTAAGCCGCTCCTCATAGGGCTTGTTCTCCAGACCCGTGATCATTTTAGTCGCCCTCCTCTGGACAC